TTTTCAATGTCGAAGAATTCTATGATGGAGAACTTTTTGTCCAATACATCTTTGGTCAATTACATATATTATCACGTCGGAGACAATCTTACTCGACAGTTTGAGGTAGAATACATCTGATTGTTAAGCTTTCACTAACCGTTGTTTTCAATGAACATCGTTCCCGTATATTGATCTATCTACTTGTATTTGATGTTAATTTGAATTAATGTAAATAAAAGCACTTAATATATCAAACTCTTTCCCCAGCGCGACGAACATTTGTTTTTCTCGTTTCCAGGTATACGCGACCACTAACCCCACGTAATGCGCATGCTCTCCGTTGCGAATCTTGAAAATGGTGGACAGGCCAAAGAGGGAAATAAAGAAAGCAAAGCGATTTTTTTTCGCCTTTCCGTTAGAAAGGCGAATTCACGGAAGAAAGATAAAAACTGTATGATATTGAGACCAGGGAGGTTGAAAAAATCAACAAGAGGTTGAAAATTCATTACGTTGGCTATAGCACATGCTTTGATGAATGGAGACTTTCGGGGCCAATGGAGGATCTAGATATTTTCCGTTTGTCGCAGCGAAAAGCTGTTCATTCCATTACTTGCTTGTGAAATAAAGAAAAAGCTTTGGTCTGGACGGCGAGAGGACCCTGATATGAACATAGACCTTAATGTTGACCTAGATGTTTTCATGGAAGGTCTTGGGGAATATATATAACGGCGTAATTAAGTGATTCCAATATTTTTGATAAATTCTTCATAACATGCCATGTGTTTATATTTATCTCTTGGAATCCATCAGAGGTTTTTTTTTCTCAATAGCATCACTTCTTCTCAGCTCTCTTATGAACAAGTCGATCAAAACATCTGAAATCCTCAGAAAAAGATGTAATGTAACTATGATGACATGGTCCATAGGTATAAAATCAAATATTGGTTGTGCCTTACAGTTGAATTTCTTTCCAGTGGAAAACCTTGCTATTTCGGCAACAGTTCTAGCACCAGATATGGGGTCATTAACTGACCATGTTTTGCTTGTGTCCCACCGTTGCTTCCTGGGACACTTGCACCACAC